AATCTCCCTAAATTCATTTCATTTACATTTTTAAAAATCTACTTTGCCTCTCCTATGAGTCAAGCATGGTGCTAGATGCTAAAGACACAAAGATAAATAAAACACAATCCTTGTCCTCAAAAAATTTACAGGGAAATATTAAAGATATGTTAAAATACAGTTTAAACAAAGCATAATGTCCCTTCTTCCATTTCAAAATGGTATTAAAATGAGCTTTTCCTTCACTAAAAGTTGTCATTTTTCAATGTCTACCATCAATTAACATTAGCCCTGTCTAGCTGCAAGATCAATTTACAAGATAAAAACAGACACGACCAATATAGAAAGTTATAAAATGTCTGGGGTGATTTTTGGGGGGGTAGGTAAAATTACACTGAATCCAGTGAGACCTGAAGTCCAAGAAGAAGAGGCAGAAGTTGAACTGGAAGACTTCAGCAGACTAACCTCTGGAGGGTCGTTTATTGTATCTGGAGCGCCCCCTAATGGTAACCACACTCTTATGCTCCCACCCAGTAAAATTACAGACTTTGAGGCCAAGTTTAATGGAGAGCATATTCAACTTACATGGACTGCCCCTGGCAATGTCCTCGATAAAGGAAAAGGTAAGTTTGGTATTAAGTTTTAAAATATTCTGAGTTAAAATCCATTTGTTTTTATTGGTAAGACTTTTCCAGCGTCTCATTTATGAGTAAAATTTATGACGCGTCTACTATAGGCCATTATTCATCTCTTTCCAAATGTGAAAAATGAAACTTCAAGAGCTAGGAACTGATCCAAATTATTCCTATTTTATTAACTTAAAATTCTAACACAGTCCTTTCAGATTTTTTTCTATCAAACTGACCAAACTGCCTCTCTCAATTTGAACTATCTTGAAATTAAATGAGAAAACTAACACCTTTCTGTTATATTCTTTCGCCCCAAACAAGAGAAAATTTTTAAGTATTTCTGTCCTTGCCCAATTTTATTCATTTATTCTTGACCTTTCAGACACAGAGTTCATGGAACAATCTCTACTCTTAGTATTCAATTAAGAACAAAAGATTGATAAACCCAAAAAGAAAGAGAAAAAACTGTCTGATAACTTCAGACAGATACAGACAGACAGACAGACAGACAGACAGATGATAGATCTTCAAGGTTTGTGTGGAGAATGGTGGAATGGATTGATAAAGCTTGTCAATACATGTTAAGGGAAAGGCCTTAATTAGGGGAGAAAAACATAAAATCAAAGTTACTATGTATTTTAAATACCTTTGACATTTCCTGAAAACATATTGTCTTTGTGCCAAAGAAAGGTCACTAGATGCTTTATTCTCACATTTCTAATATCTGAAAAGAATAAGCCATATGAAATCATGAAAATTAGGAAACCATATTCATAAAAATAGATGAAAAGTAATAACATATTACCACCATGTTTAATTTATGCCAGGAATCGAAAGATGAATTAATCCAAAAAAAAAACCTCTGTACTTTACCACATTCATATATTAAAAAGAAAAACTATATGATCATTTTAATGCATGTAAAAAAATACAATTCATCTAACATTATTTAAAATGAAAAATTTGAAAATTATTAACAATATTTTAACTTTAAAGTTTAAATCTGATTACTTACAGGCAAGAGAATCATATGTTTTAGGCAAGCCTGGACTACATAAAAGACTCTGTCTTCAAATAGAAGTTAAATAAATAAATGAAAAATAAAGGGAGTATTAAATCTTCAGGTAGAGATAAGAAATTAGACATCAGAGAGTGAGCATTCTCAGTGACTAGAAATGAAAATTATGGCTGGGTGTGGTGGTGTATACTGGCAGGAGGATAGATGTGAAATATTTAATGTTTTTGCTATAAATGAACATTATGTGTTCCTTGTTCTAAATTCCTAATGAAATTTATATCCTGAGTGGAGGAAATAGTATTACAAGATACTGAATTTTCTGTGATGTGGTAACTACATTTAAAAGGAACAGTTCCTGCACTTTTTAGCCAGGCGTGGTGGTGCACACCTGTAGTCCCAGCACTTGGGAGGCAGAGGCGGGCAGAGCTCTGTGAGTTCAAGGCCAGTCTGGTCTACATAGTGAGTTCCGGGCCAGCTGTCAATGACTAGAAATGAAAATTATGGCTGAGTGTGGTGGTGTATACTGGCAGGAGGATATGCCACTGAGGTGGAGGCAGGAGGATCACAAGTTCAAGGCCAGCCTGGGCTCTACATTTGGGGGCTGGAGAGATGGCTTGGCAGTTAAGAATAGTGGCTGGTCTTGCAGAGGACAGGGATTTGAATCCCAGTACCCCATGGCAGCTAACAACCTTCTGTAATTCCATTTCTGGGGAATACAACCCCCTCTTCTGGCCTCCACAGGCATTGCATGACACGGGTGCACTTTCATATAGGCAGGCAATACACTGACACACATAAGAAAAATAAATTTTAAAAATTAGAAAATTATGAAATAGGTCATAACTCATTAAACAATTTTAATTACAAGGCTCATAGAATCAGGAGATAGTTAATGCTCTCCTTTATTGAATAATTTTTTAAATAAATAATTTATTGAAAATTTCATACATGCATATAAGGGACAAAAAAAAAACCCAGTTTCTGTATTTTTCAATTATTTTATGTGTATGAGTGTATGTATGTAAGTACACAACATGTGTGCAAATCTGTGGAGGCCAGAAGAGGCCATTCGATCCCCCTGGAACTGGAGGTACAGATGGTTGTTAGCCACCAAACTCCAGTTTTCTGGAAGAGTAGTCCATGCTCTTAAAACACTTAACCATCTCCTAGGTCCCAAAATATTTGTCTTTAAAATAAGTAAGAAGAGACAACCAGACAAAAGTTGTATCTAGAACATCTATAACTAAACCTTAGTATTCATTTCTGATAAACCCCTAAACTTAAGGTAATGTAGTGGCAGAAAATCATCCTAGTGATTTTAATGTACATGACTTATCTATTTGTTTTCCAGTTGATAGCTACATTATCAAAATGAGTATATGTTTCTTGGATCTCCAAAATGATTTTGACAATGCTGATTTAGTGAATACTTCCGGTCTGATACCCAAAGAGGCTGGCTCACAAGAAATTTTTGAATTCAAACCAGAAACATTTAAAGTAGAAAATGGCACCAGGTTCTACATTGCAATTCGAGCCAACAATGAAGCCAATCTTACTTCAGAAGTCTCTAACATTGCACAGGCTATCAAGTTTATTCCTCCACAGGAGTCCAGCACCCCTGATCTGGGTACCAATATTTCTGCACTCAGTATGACAATTTTTGGATTTGTTGCAATTTTATTTATATTTTAAACTAGAAATTGTATTAGAACAAAAATTCAATCTTCTTTAGAATTAGTTTACTGTACTCATTGTCTACTATACAATTCTTTGTAATATAAAAGTGAATGTTCAAAGTTGTAAATTTCCTATTTTGAGTTAATTAAAACCAAGTAAGTTGCTATAAATCAATCAAAATTGGTATTTCCTTAATCTGCTCATTGTTTCCATTAATATAAAAATAAGTATTCCTATTTATGGGTTTCTTAAACATTTTCAGAGTGTGCTGCAAATTCACTTGGTATACTAACAAAATCGAAGTTATAAAGGCCTTTTGAAAAGTATTTAAGCATATTTTATAAGCATTTAAATTTACAGGGATTTAAGCATAGAGTAACAAGTAATTTCATAGAACTATTTATTGTTCATAATTGATTATGAGTGAATATTTCATATTTATATAAGCTAAAATTAAAAAGGACTACAGGTTTAATTTTAATTAAAAATGACCTTAAGTGGTCAGATGATCAAATTCCTTTACCATTAGAGTTTAATCAGAGTTTAGTCCTAGGCATGAAATGAGGAATAGGAAGACTTTTTCCTATAAACTATGGAGCATCATAATGTTTTACTTCTATGCCAGGACCATTGTTTGAGCCTAAGAGTATTACCATGATGTGCCACTGGAGTTGAATTTTTACTCATACTGCTTTATTCTTTTCATCTAGACCAGAACATCATCTGTAGCAGATTTTCAATAAATATTTGTTAAATATGTTAAGGAATTATGTTGTACTTTCAAAGGAAATTGAAGCACCATTATATCAACAATACCCATACAACAACATGTGCACATAATAAAAACTAACTACTTTATAATACCGGTCTGAACTGATATGTAGAGTTGCAGAAAATTAGTTATAGATGTTACCTCAATAGAATGTGTAAGCTACCTAATAAAATATAAATTAAGCTATTAGTATTGCAGCAGTGTAACATTCCTTAAAAATAGAGTTATAATAGAGAAAAATCCTTTCCTTTTTAATATTTTTTATGTGTATGAGTGTATTGCCTACATGTATGTATATGTACCTGTGTTATGCAATATCCACAGAGGTCAAGAAAGGACATCAAATTCCCCTAGAACTGGAGTTACAGACGGTGTTAATCACCAGGTGGGTGCTAAGAATCAAACCCAGGTCCTCTGCAAAAGCAGCTAGTGTTCTTAACTGCTGTGCCATTTCTCCAGCCCCCAGAAAACCCTTTCACTATTGACAAGATTTCAAGAACTTTACCTTTTAAAAAATATATTTTATTTATTATTTTTATTTTATGTGTAT